TGGAGTTGGCCCTGTTATTTTTAACCTCTTCATTCCCCCCTCTTCTGGTAACTATGGAGGCCAATCTTGGGCTCCCTAGAGATCTGATAATTGAATATTATATTTGAGTTAGGACTCCCTTGGCAATTCCTTTATGTTCATCCATGAACAAGTGAAAGGGCTTGGTAATGCCCAGCAACCCTAAAGCTGGTGCTGACAACAGGGCCTGCTTTAACTTGTCAAAAGCCCTTTGCTGTTCTGGGGTCCAGTTAAAGCTCTCAGTCTCTTTTGTGGCCTCATAAAGGGGCTTAGCTATCTCTGCAAAGCCTGGGATCCAGAGCCTGCAAAATCCTGCTGACCCCAGGAACCCCAGGAACTTTCTTACCTAGCAAAGACTGCTTGGCTCTGGAATGCTGAGAACAGCCTCTTTTCTATCCTTGGGGAGCCATCATTGTCCCCCTTTCTGGATGTAGCCAAGGTAGGTCACTTCAGTCCTACAGAGTTGCACTTTTTTGGCTGAGACCCTGTACCCTAGGTCTCCCAGGACTTGTAGGAGCCACTGGGTCCCTTCCAGACAGCTTGCCTGGTCTTTGGCTGTCACCAAGAGGTCATCTGCATACTGGAGAAGGATAACATCCAGGTTGTTAGTCCGGTACTCATGCAAGCCTCATGCAGGGCCTCAGTGAAGACAGTGGGTGAGTTCTTAAATTTTTGGGGCAGGCATATCCAAATCAGCTGTCCATTGATATCTGCCTCTGGATCATGCCATTCAAAAGCATGATCTTGGCTTTTGAGTGCCAGGGGGAGGCTGAAGAAGGTGTCCTTCAGGTCTAGGATGGTATATCAGTTTCTTTAAGGTGGTAGGGAACTCTGCAAAGTATATGGTTAGGTACAGTGAGATGGAAATCCATCACCCACCGGTTGACTTCCCTCAAGTCCTGGACTGGCCGATAGTCATTTGAACTAGGCTTTTTAACAAATAACAGGGGAGTATTCCAGGCAGATTGACAAGGCCCGAGAATCCCAAATTTGAGTAATTTATGGGTGCGAGGAGTTTTTCCCCTTTTTGCCTCCAGAGACATTGGTTATTAGTGTACCCAGGCTGGATCTGCCCCTGGCTTAACCTCCACAAACACTGGTGGCCAGTGTTTGGCCAGTCTCATTCAGCCCAAGCCTGAAGAAATTCTTCCAGCCAAGGATCCAGATTTTCCCTCTGGGCAAGAGGTTGCTCATATAATTTGTATTTAGATTAGGGGGCCAAATTAGCTGTTAGGACTTAGATAGGCCTTCCTTTATCATCTAGTAGCTAGGCTCTTTATGGCCCAAAATGATTCTGAGCCCTCATTTTGGTTAATAGATCTCTCCCCAAAAGTGGATAAGGGCATTCAGGAATGACCATAAATGGTGAGTTACTCGTCCTATTCCCAAGTCCACAGATCTTTGGGTAGTCCATGAGTATTGTTTAGTACCTGTGGACGCTTGGACCCAAGATTTCTTTGAGGTGAGGGGCCCATCCGCCTTTTGGAGTACCAAGTGTTGAGCTCCTGTGTCCTCCAGAAAGTCCAAGGGTTTTCCCTCTGCCTTAATACTTACCCTGGGTTCAGGAAGGGGATCCGAACCCCAGCCCCTTCGATCACTCTCTCCTTCAGCAAACATGACTTTGGGCTTGGGTCTTTTGGGCACTCCCTTACCCAAAGGCCCTCCTCTTTACAGTGTGCACATTGATTCTTATTTAATGGTGTTCTGCGTCTTCCCTCCCAGTTTTTCCCATTAGCAAGTTGTTGGAGCTGCTGCTTTCTTTTCTTTGGGCTCAGCTGTCACAGCCAGGAGTACTTTAGCCAAATCTCTATTCTACCTCTTCTCTGCCTTAATCTGCTTCTCCTCTGGGCTATCTCGGTTATTGTAAACTGTTGTTGGTTATTAATATTTATTATTGATTTATCTTTTAGTTAAGCAGCAGTTATTCCTAAACCAGCTGTATACCCAAATCCCCACACATAGACTAGGATTTATTTAATTAACCTAGAGCACAATGCCGTCCCAGAAGCAGAAAGACACACACGGTATATACTCACTCATATAGACATGTAATATAGGATAAACCTACTAAACCCTGAACATCTAAAGAAACTAATCAAGAGAGAGGACCCTGACTAAAACGCTCAATCCCCATCCTGAAAGGCAAAGAGGTTGGACATCAGAAGAAGAAGAAAACAGGAAACAACCTAGGAACCTGCCAGAGGGTCTCCGGAAGCCTCTGCCCTGCAGACTGTCAAAGCAGACGCTGAGACTTATGGCCAACTGTTGGGCAGAGTGCATAGAATCTTAAGTAAGAAGCGAGAGCAACAGAACCAGAAAATTTGAACACAGGGGTCTTCCCAGAGACTCATACTCCAACCAAGGACTATTCATGGAGATAACCTAGAACCCCTGCACTGATGTAGCACATGACAGTTCAGTGTCCAAATGGGTTCCATAGTAATAAGAAGAGGGACTGCCTCTGACATAATCTGATTGGCCTGCTCTTTGATCACCTCCCCCTGAGGGGGGGGAGCAGCCCTACCAGGCCACAGAAGATGACAATGCAGCCACTCCTGATATGATCCATAGACTAAGATCAGATGGAAGGAGAAGAGGACCTCCCCTATCAGTGGACTTGGGGAGGGGCATGTGTGAAGAAGAGAGAGGGAGAGTGGGTTCGGGAGGGGAGGAGGGAGGGGCTTATAGGGGGATACAAAGTGAATAAAGTGCAATTAATAATAAAAAAAAAGAATCAAAAGAAATGCAAAATAACGGCTCTAACCTGAGTCAGATATATTTTAGGAAGAAGGCCCATCAGCCATTGTTCTGAGTGTCTCATACAGAGGATTTCACAGGAAAGATTCAGTTCTAGGGAAATGTTCAGCCTGTAGCTTGAGCAACGGTGCTTAGTATCGTCACTTGGTGAATAGGGTTTGAAATAATTCCCACCCAGCATTGGCTGGCCACTCCCACAGGTTCTGTAGCACCATTTCCCCTGCACGGCTTGCAGGCAGGGCAGGTGGTAGATAGAGGGTTTTGTGGCTGCCTTGATGTCCAGGTTTCTCTTTCATTTGTCTCCAGGGTGCCTTCTCATGTAAGAGACTAGAACAGTGGCTCTCAACTCATGGGTTGTGACCCTAGTGAGGGTCGAACAGTCCTTTCTAAGGGGACACATATCAGATATCCTACATATCAGAAATTTACATTCATAATAGTAGTACAAATTACAGTTATGAAGTAGCAACAGAAGTAATTCTATGGTTGGGAGTCACCACAACATGAGGAACTGTATTAAAAGGTTGCAGCATTAAGAAGGTTGAAAACCATGGACTAAAACATAGGGACGAAGTCTCCATGCATGTGCCATCTCGACCTCTCTACATTCAATGAGTTGTATGGATGTTGTCCTCAACAATGTTTGCTCTAAATTAAGGCCCACACCTCAAGAGGAAGCCCATGCACTACATTGCCTGGATGGCCAGAAACCAGAGACTGATAGCCCTGAGACCGAGGGTAGAACCAAACACAACTGACAAAAAAAAAAAAGGAAAGGAAAGAAACTCCGTGAAATGATTCCTAATGATAGTCTTCTGTACTCATGGATCAGTGCCATGCCTTGCCCAGTTGTCATGAGAAAGACTTCCTCTGGCAGCAGATGGGAGAAAGTGCAGAGAGCCACAGCCAGACAATACACACACACACACAAAAAAGAATCTAAATTTGGGGCCTCCATTGGTTCCTTCCTCTGGGAGATTGGGGAATCCCACAGAAGAGGGGGAGGAAAAAAATGTAGAAGTCAGAGAGATTGGAGGACAACAGGAAAACCTGGCCTACCAAACCAACTAAGTAGAACTCACAGAGAATGAAGTGGCACGCACGAGGCCTGCAAGAGTCTGCACCAGGTTCTCTGTGCACAGGTTATGGCTGTCAGCTTGGTGTTTTTGTGGGACTCCTAACAGTTGGAGTGGGTGTATCTCTGACTCTCTGTTCTGGGGACTCTTTTCCTCCTATTGGGTTGCTTTGTCCAGCCTTGATAGCAGAACTTTTGCCTTGTCTTACCATGTTTTGTTTTGTCCGATTTAGCTATTGTCTCTTGGAGATACACTTTTTTTTCTGAAGGGAAAAGGAGGGGGAGTAGATCTGGAGAAGAGGGAAGGAAGGGAGGAGCTGGGAGGAGTGGAGGGAGGGGAAACTGATCAAGATGTGTTGCATGAGGAAAGAATATATTTTCAGAAAGAAAGAAGAAAGAAAGAGAAAGAATCCCCACTGACATCAAGAAGGGTGGAAAGAGATTACAACGGCAAACAGTTCTGAGTAGTACAAAGGCTAAAAGAAATTTAGTTGTATTGTGTTGCTATGCAGCAGATTTTTTTTTATTATGCAAAGATGGGAAGGGAAAGCCGCATTCGTTTCCCTGGTGCAAATGGGTATTGTTCTGTGGACCTGGGGCAGGCTTGGACACAGAGTCTGAGAACAAGTACACAAAGTTGTTACGGAAACTAGAATTCTTCCATGCAGATGTTTACAGAGAATTTTCAGGACCATCTCACTCAACAAAATCAACTCCATTTACTTTGCTGTATGCCAGTGAACCCCAATGAAGATGGCTTTCTTATGCATCCTTGAGTAAACTATAAATTCAGGAGTCTCTGGATGACGATTACATCACCAAGGTGTTAACTTGTGTGTAGAATGTTTGTATTGCATGTCAGAAGCTTGCTCATGCTTGTCTCAGCCATTGTCAGGTGCACTGGTTTCTGCAATCTGAGAACAAGGTGGCTGTTGTGAATGTCTTCTGAAACATTTCCTTCAGCAGAGCAACTGTCTGGGCTGTCCCATACTGGGATACTGTGGATGTGTCTCTTTACGCCATGGAGACTAGACAGTGACAGCTGCCTCTGGCCATCAACTTTGTCTAATTGTGATTTGGAAATTTTTCCAGCTATTTTTAAAAACAGGTGTTTTTTTGTTTGTCTTGTTTTTGAGAAGGTAATTGCATGATGAGGATTTTCATAGCCTTTGAAGGATCTTTTGAGGCATTTGAAGTTTCAGCACATCAATCTGTGGAAGCCATCAAACAGATGGTAAAGGTATGTGCTTAGTCAAGGTCACCAAGATGTACTTGAGTTTAATTATGCCTAACAGTTTAAAAGTGTGCATAGGATAGAGATATTATTTGGTATTTAAACATAAGGAACAAAGAGGTTTCGGAAAATATCACTATTTGTTTACATACTAGATTAATAAGAATATGGTATATTTGGGGATCTTAGATAAGAAAATAAACTGAGCCAGTAAATTTATGACAGGAGGCAAGGAGAGCAGTTATCAAGTTTCACTTTTCTTTAGTGAATTCATGGGTTGTGCCTGGACCAGATAGCTTACCACATTGTTCATGAAAGGACAAAAATATGACATTAACTTTAGCATATGCAAAGAGTGTGCCAGTAGTCTGACAGATATAGCTGTCTGTACAGATAATGGCTTCATTAAACATAATTAAAAAGGAAAAACATCTCAATTTTACATAGAATTAACAAAAATAAAGCTGTAGGCACTGCAAAGGTAGCTTAGTGGTTAAGAGCAACGGCTATTCTTTCGGAGGACATGGGTTCAATTACCGATACTCACCTGGCAGCTTACTCCCATCTGTAATTCTAGTTCCAGGGGATCCTTTCTCTCTGGTAGTGTCCTCAGGTTCCAGGCACACATGTGGCACACAGACATACATACAAGCAAAGCACTCACACATAAAATAAAAATAATAAATTTTTAAATTAAGGTGTATGTTTTTTTTTTCAACTAAAATCTATTTGTACACTTGTAGAGAACAATAGGGCCCAAGTTAAGGACCTTATCCAATCTTTCTTCCCTTTGTTCTAAAACTATTATAATACCATATGGCAAGGGATGAAAGGAGGGAGTAAGAAAGGAAAAGAAAGAGAGGGAGGAAAGGAGAGAGGGGAGCACTGTGTTTCTGGTCTGCTGATAAAGAGACAGACTGTTTTCACATGATGTCATTGCTCTTTAAGGATTACTTCCACATTCCTGTTTCTGAAGACAAACAAGGCAGGTGTTATCTAGAGCTGATGTACGCTGGAGCTGCCCTAAGGAACAGTTGGAGACTGTCGGATGTGGGAATATCTTTCTGTTCAACTCTCAAATGCTGTGTTAAGGTATGGTAGTTAGAATAATCTTTGCCCAAGATGTCTCTCTCATTTGGAGGTATGTTGTGGATAGTTCAACTGAGTAACTTCCTAACTTAGGAAAAGCGTTTCACGGGCTGACATAGTTGATGCATACCTATAATCCAAGTGTTCATGAGACAGAGGCAGGGGGATCGTAAGTCTGAGAACAGCTTATGCTTTATAGCAAGATCCTGCCAAAAGGAATAAAATAAACAGGGCTTTCTTTTAATTTTTTTTTTTTTTACTTTTAAACTTATTTATTGCATTCTATGTGTTATGAGTGATGACTGCTGTTTGAGGAGGCCAGAAAAGGATGTTGTTGCTATAGTTGCAGGCGATTATGAGACACTAGATGTGGGTTCTGGGACGCAAGCTCAGGTCATCTGTAAGAGCAACACATCCTATTAAGCTCCGAGCCATCTTTCCAGCCCCCTAAAGATTTATTCATGTGTATGTGTGCACATGCCTATGGGTGTACAGATGAGCCATTGGGTTCTGCAAGAGCTGAAGTTATAGACAGTTGTCAGCTCCCTTGCACGAGTGCTGAGAACCAAACCTAAGTCATCTACAGGAAGAAGAGTAGTACACACTTGGGCTGGAGAGATAGCTCAATTGTTAAGTGCACTGTCTGCTCTTCCAAAGGTCCTGAGTTCAATTCGCAGCAACCACATGTTGGCTCAAAACCATCTACACTGGAATCATATGGCCTCTTCTGGCATGCACGCATACATGCAGATAGAGCATTTATGCATAAAATAAATAAATAGAATCTTTAAAAATTAAAAAAAAAAGAATAGCACATACTCAACCACTGAATCATCTCTCCAGCCATTCTTGTTTTGTATTCTCTTCTCCATTGTACACAAGGTTTTATGCAGGCTTCATGCATAAAAAGAGCCATAAGATACAAATACAACATTCCTCCTGACCCCTGTCTGTTCTCTATTTCTTGCCTTATCCCCTGCCATCTGCCCCATCCCATCATTGCAGGACTCACCATAGACTAGAAAGTCTAAAGGATGGCTCTGAAATATCTGTAGAGAATGGAGCACATGAGGTCACTTCCTTACTCATAAGGATTAGAGGCAGTGGCACGATGAAGAGGGATTGTCAGTAATAATAATTATGGGGAAGCATCTGTACTGGCTAGTTTTATGTCAACTTGACAAAAGCTAAAGTTATCTGGAAAGAGGGAACATCAGTTGAGAAAATGCCCTACAAGACCAGCCTGTGGGCAAAGCTGTGGGGAATGCTTTTGACTGATAATTGATGTAAGAGGACAGAACACAGGAGGTGGTACCACACTTGGGCTGGTTCTCTAAGAAGTGGGTTCTATAAGAAAAGAGGATGAAGCCAGGTGTGGTGGCACATGCCTATAATTCCAGCACTCTGGGGGGCATAGACAGGCAGGTCTTTGTGAGTTCGAGGCCAGCCTGGTCTACAAAGTGAGTCCAGGACAGCCAAGGCTCCACAGAAAAATCCTGTCTCAGAAAAAAAAAAAAAAGAAACAAACAGAAAGAAAGAAAATAAGAAAGGAAGAAAAAAAGAAAGGAAGAAAAAGAAAGAAAGAGAAAGAAGATGAAAGAGAGAGAAAAAGAGAGAAAGAAAGGAAGAAATCTCCAGATTCCTGCCCTTCTTCAGTTTCTGTCCTGACACTCTAGTGATGGATTATGATGTGGAAGTATAAGCTGAAATAAACTTTTTTACTCCCCAAGTTGCTTTTGGTCATTGTGTTTATCACAATAGAAACCCTAAGATTTGTAGACTAGGCTAGCCTGGAACTCACAGAGATCCACCTGCCTCTACCTCCTGATTACTGGGATTAAAGGCATGTGCCACCATGCCCTGGCTCAAAATGTTGACATCTTGTTATAGGATGTTCTTGTTTGTTTGTTTTTAAGAATTGTTTATTTATTTTACATATATCAGTGTTCTGCCTGTATGTCACTTGCATGCCAGAAGAGGGTATCAGATCCCAGTAGAGATGGTTGTGACCCACCATGTGGTTGCTGGGAATTGAACCCAGAACCTCTGGATGAGTAGACAGTACTCTTATCCACTGAGCCATCTCTCCAGTCCTTACTTTTTGGTTTTTAATTATTTTTTTTACAAAATAAAATATAAAAAGATAAAACAAGTCTGAATATTGGTGGCACACACCTTTAAACCCAGCACTCAGGAGGCAGAGGCCGGTGGATCTCTGTGAGTTTAAGGCCATCTTTGTCTACAAAGTGAATCCAAGACAGCCAGTGCTACACAGGGAAACCCTGTCTTGAAAAACCAACCAAACAAACAGACAACCAAGAAGATAAAACAAAGGCCATCCTATCAAAGTTGGAGAAAACAAGCCCACAGTAAAGAAAAGAGCCTCAAGAGAAGACATAGGAATCAGAGACCTCATTCACACCTTCAGGAGTCCCATGAAAATACTAAATTGAAAGCTATAGTATATATGCAGAGGACCTGGTACAGATCCATGCAGGCCCTGTGCTCACTACATCCGTCTCTGTGAATTTGGATGAGCTTTGCTCAGTTGTTTTAGAGGGCCTTGTTCTTCTGGTGCCCTTCATCCTCTGTGTCTCCACCATTCCCTCTACCTCTTCTGTGGGATTCCTTGATCTCTGACAGGAAGGATTTGACGGTACCATCTCATTTAGAGCTTTGTGTTTTAAGCACTGTCTTTCTCTCTCCCTCCCTCCGTGTGTGTGTGTGTGTGTGTGTGTGTGTGTGTGTGTGTGTGTGTGTGATGTCTGGATAGAGATCTCTGTATTTGTTCCTGCCTGCTGCAAGAGGAAGCCTCTCAGATGATGGCTGAAAAAGGCCCTTTCTATGGGTATAGCAGAATATCATTAGGAGTCATTTTATTGTTATTTTTTTTAGACCAGTATATTTGATTTTACCCCAGATTTCTGGGCTATCCAGACTCTGGTTCTTCATTACTCAAGCAGTATCAGATATGGGTTCTATCTCATGGAACGGTAAGTCAAATCAGATACTGGTTGTCTACTCCCACAAACTTTGTGCTACCATGACCTAGCATGTTTTGAAGGCAGGGCAGATTGTAGATCAATGGTTTTGTGTTTGACTTGGTGTTTACTTTCCTCTTTTGGTAGCCTGTAGAGTACTTTCCTATGTCATAGGCACCGAGCCATAACAAAGTTACAGAAATAATTTGTTTGGCCCAGCTTCCACGTACACCATTTTCTGAACAGCTGCTATACAAAAAGGGAAGTTCACTTGATTTCTCAAGTGAAATTCAGTCCATTTAACAAAACCAGACATTACTTTCCCCTTCGTTCACTCTGGAACAGGTGGGGCAGGCTTCTGCTTTTTTGCTTTCTGCATTTTTTAAGGCAGAATTATAGCAGAATTTTTAAGGCAAAATTATATACACTGACTGCCATTTGTGTTGTCTGGTTTAATAAAACATTTCTATATCACTGCTAATGTACACATATCATTTGCGTCTACTTTTTGAAGACTAAATATAAATTATAATATTGAAATAGAATATATTTGTTTGTACTGAAAAATTGGATATTTTGAGTTTGTCCTCTACTATGATGGTTTGTTTGTGGTTTTCTTTCCGAGGAGAAAAATGTAACCTTTTTGTTGTTGTTTTTGTTAGTGAGTCCTTATTCACTTGTATGTTTATTTGTGGCACTGAGTGTTGGAGATGGATTCCAGAGCCTCATGCATGCCAGGCAACTGAGCACTTCACCACGACTAAGCTCCATCCCCAGTGAATTTCTTTCTTCATCTTCACAAAAGTGAATAATTTGTTGCTCATTGTTTGAACAAGCTGAGAGACATGCTGATGTCCAGGGTGTAATTCATTGTCTTTGTGAGAAGAAATTATATGTATCATGCTCTTAAAAAGGTTTTATTGATTCTTTGTGAATTTCACATCATGCACCCCAGTCTCACTCATCTCCTCATCCCTTCATATTCACTCTCCGCCCTTGCAACCTCTGCTCCAAAAGAAAACAAAAAACAAAAACAAACAAGTAAACAGACAGAACAATAACAAATCTGCAGTGTGTCTTAGTGTGTGCCACAGGACACCCTCTACTTGCAAACGCCCATTGCAACTTTGAGTCATTGGTCTGCTTCCAGGCCTCCGGCTTCTGCTACACTACCAATACTGGATCCTCCCTAAGGCTCCTTTGCGATATCCTGTTGTTGCCCTGTGTCATGGAGATCCGCAGTTTTCGATCTGCAGGGGTGGCCCCTTCATGCACTCCAGGAATTCACAGATGGAGTAGATGTTGGAGTGGGCCAACTCAAAGCCCTGGATCTGGGCCTGAGTGGGAGCTGAGTTGGTCAGTTCACCAGCTCTCTTTATAATCATCGGATAATTAATATTCTGGCCTGTTTTTAATTATACATATATAATATATATGTAAATATATAGTTTGCTGTTGAGATCAACTTAGCTGTTAAGATGTACTGAAGCCTCTAAAGTTTTGTTTACGTGCTGTTATCTGTTTATTTGCATTTCATTTGCCATTTGCTTGCACTTGCTGATAAATTTAAATTAAAGAGTTAGAGAGAAATCAGGAGGTTCTAAAGAAATAAAAAACTGCTATTGTGTAAATTGTAATTTTTCTTTCTCCTCCACTACTTTAAAAAAATGTATATGTATGTGTCTGTAAACACACAAACCATGTATGTGCACACGCCTGCATGTGGGCGAGGAAGACGTAACCAGGGGAGCTGGCCTGGAGCAAAACTGAGGTGGAGATGTGTCCAAACCCCACAAACTTTATTTTGAGACTGGCAGGAGTAGGACTCCTCCCTCCCTGCCTTGGGCCTGCATGTCCCAGTATACTTACAGCCCCCCCCCACAACATCTGCCACTTTTAGGGTGGTCACGTAGCCTGGTAGCCAGATTATAGGTTAAATTTCCTTTCTCCCTGGTCCAGCAATGACCTGTGATTCCTCTTCCTGCAAATAAGGCCTTCCCAGCACCTCGGCTCCCGCCCATGTTGTACACTCAACCCGATAGTCCCTACCCACCCCCCAAAGGTTTAAATGGCTTTGTTCCCTGCAATTAAATGAGCTGTCTCACTGAAGCTGTCTCCTGAGAAGGCTATTTCTCCAACACTCACCACCAACCAAGATTCTGCATTGTGCCCACCCATTCCAGCTAACCTTCACTTCCTCCAGTCCAACCCTGTGGGCAAAGAGTCTGGATACCTTGAGAACAGAAGCAGACACAGGGCGGCACCCACAGAGGTGGGTGCATCAGAGAGAAGAGAGCATCAGAGCCCCTGAACAGATTTACAGGTTGTTGTGAGATGCCTGATGCATTGATGTGGGTGCTGGGAACTGAACTTGGGTTCTCTGGAAAACCCAAGTGCTCTTAACCACTGAACCATCTCTCCAGCCCCTCTCCACTGCCTTTTAGTTACACATTTATAGTAATTTCTGCCTGACAATCAATATTTCAGGGATAGATATGGAAGACCTTACCTGAGGGAGCAGAAGGGAAACATGAGTATTCTTACTAAGTGAAATTATTATAACCTATATTCAGAACATTTAGCCTGCTCAGCACTAATGGCATCTCAGCTTGTTGGGCTGGCTTCCTGTGTTAGAGAAAAAACCCTGAACTTGTTCAACTGGTTTGAGTCAATGAAATGGGCCTTTGATCAAAACACTGGAGAGTCGTATTTCATCAGTAACACCATTCCTCCAAGAATTTTTGAGATGTGTATATTGATTATATTATGACAACAGTATCATAGAAAGTTTTCTATGTAAATGAGGCTGGTCTTGAACTCCTGATCCTCCTGCCTCTACCTCCTAACCTCTCAAGTCCTATAACTACAGGCAAGATATGGTAAGTACCTGGGTTGGCAGAAGGGTGCACCTAGAAGCCGGTATTCACTTCTGAGAAAGCTGCCATGATGGGGAAATTCTGGGGTAGTGCCATGCACTTGCACATGCCCAGTAAACAACAGGCCACTGAAGAAAACAGTTACGGTCCTGCAACCACTGAAGGAGAAGCAAAGCCGGTTTCACTTCTCTAGACTGGTGGAAAGGTATTCAACTTTCCCCACCTTCTTCAGGGCTTGCTTGGTTAAAATGTTGCCGAAAGGATTAACATTCCCCCAAACTTTCCATCTTTACTTAGAATGTCTTAAATCTACTTGCATTCCTAATTGGACTCTAAAATAAAAGGAGTAAAAAAAAAAACTTAAAAAAAACCTATATTTTGTATTTCTGTATTTAAACAGCAAAAATAAATGTAAGTGGTTAGTGAATTTTATAAAAAGGCAAACCACACAGACAAGGATGAACACACAACAGTAAGAAAAAATGTCCCTCCTGCTCTCACTTGGATCCAGCCTCCAGAGTGAATCTCAGAAAAGGGCCTTTTTTTTAATTGGCCACAAGTTAAGAGCTCACAGTCTCTCCACCTTATGCACAACATAGTAGAGGAGTGTTCTCTGCACTGTCTCCTCAGTAAGCATATGAAACAAACTGGCAACACTTGATTCTGTATCTGGATCTGTAGAATGTCAGAGCCCTGGAGTTTTCATCCCTTTACTCAAAGCAGGGGACATGTTATGTCTTCAGGATAGAGAGTAAAACAAAGTCACAGAAGAAAACTGGTTTTATTTTTCCCCTTTGTACACATGTCATGGGAGGTAGAGGTGCTCAGAGTCTAGTGTCCCTAACACAGCCTTCAGACAATGAGTGTCCCCTCTTCTCTCATGCAGAAAGAAGACAAGCCTACTCTCTACGTGTTCAATGCTGTGACCAAGGAGATGATGCCGATAATGGAGGCCATGTCTATCCTGGAGAAGAAGGTGTCTGACCTGAGGATGCTGGTAACTCAGAGATGTGGCTTCCCCATGGGCGTCTACTGTCTCCGGACACCAAAGGGACAGGAGATGTATGACTGCAACACCCTCAGGGACTACCAGACTGATATCGGTACTGGCACCAACAACCAGGGCTCTTGTATACCAGATTGTGCAGCTTTCAGAGAAAACAGAAACCTAGGGTTTTATAGGCAGACTGTCGAGTTTGCTTATTTAACCTAAAAGAACTAACATGTTATGTGAGTTAACTATCAGAAGTATAAAAAGATGTATAATGATAACTCTCCCTGGCCTCCTGGCCTCCTGGCCCCCTAAGCACCCAGTCGCCTCCCTACAGGAAACCATGATTGCTATCAAGGTTTAAAATCACAGATTAAATCACAGCAAGTGGAGCTGTGGCAAACTGAAACCTCAGGAGGCACACCGAGGTGGTGAATTACCAATATCTTGTTCTTTCATTTGGTTTTGTAGAATAGGAAATAAAGGTCTCATAGCTCGGCTTATTCCTATACTTAATTAACTTTTTATTTGTGTATACATATGTATATGTGCACATAAGTGAGTTTATATATGTACAGGTACCTCTGAAGGCCAGAAGAGGGAGTCAGATGCCTTAGAGTTGGGGTTACTGATCTTCAGGTCCTCTGCAAAAGCAGCCCTCATGCTCTTAACGGCCAAGCCACCTCTCCAGCACTGCTCTGCTAATTCTTAAAGCAGCATTTTGCTAATATCCTCAGGGTGGAAGGGCAAAATTCAAGGAACATCATTTTTGTCTTTCAAAGTATATTTCAAGCATATATAGGACTTGAGGTTTTTTTTTTTTCTTAATGCAGGTGGCAGCATTATAATATAGTTCTGACCCTTGATTTGTATAATCTCATTTTAAAATGTTGCCAGTTGTATTGAAACAACCTGCTGTGCAGGATGACAAGTTGCCTTAGTTGACTGGAATTTACCCAACAGATCACTCAGCAACTTCTCTTTCAATACCATACATTCAGGTCACATCTTCTGTGGCCAAACATCAAGAAGGAAAAGTACTAGATTTGGCTTAAGGTGTGCTAGAGACTGACTCCATCCTTGGATTACTGCTGAGAGGTGAATGAGTGCTTGCTGAAGAGCTCCCCGCCTCTGAGTGTGAAGGTGCTATAACACTTGCTGCAAGGGATTTGGAGATCTACACACACACACACACACACACACACACACACACACACACACACACACCTCTGGAAGGCATGCTTGAGTTCAATAGTTTTGCTTTCTGTAACTGCTGAATCTACACTTATTTTGAACTGAGGATCTAAAAACTTTGATATCAGTTATTGCCTTCTTTTTTTTTTTTTTTTATTCTCTGTGTAGCCCTGGCTGTCCTAGACTCACTTTGTAGACCAGGCTAGCCTCCACTGTGCCTGGCATTGTCTTTATTTTTGATCAGAGAAAGTAAATTTGTGGGATTTGTCCCCAGAGTACTACTGTAATTCTGAGTACTTGGTGGAGGCTCAATGGCCTGAAATGTAGTGTTCACACTGTCATCTGTGCTCAAGCAACTGATAATCTAATTCTTTAATTAAACATCAAATGACAAAACAAAAATAGGATAATTCCTGGAGGGCATTTTTTTCACTTGCTTCTTGGATTGTGATATTTTAAAGCTGGAAAGAATTTAGAAATTACTTGGTCCAAACTCACATTTCACAGAATTTTTAAAAAATCAAACTTTTTGAATGTTTCACTCATGATATGTTAAAAGAATCCCTTAAAATAAGCATTTGAAGATGTGAGGGCAGTGCTTTAGAGACAGGATGTCAGATACAAAGTCTAGAGTCCAGGAACCATGTAGGTAGATCTTCTGACTACTTGAAGAACATAGAACATTGAAGGAAAGGTTCAAAAAGAAGGATGGGGATGGGGTAATGAGACTTTGGCCTGCTTCTCACCATTCCTAAGGCATACCCAGCTTTCCCTGGGTACCCAGCCCACTTGCTTTAATTAGAGAAATTCTGGCCAGCATTCTCATTGGAAAAACTCTCCACTCCTTACTCAATCAAGGATTTACTCAATCCTTGCTGCTATCTGCAGGTAAACTCTGAATCACGCTCCGAAAGCAGTGGAGAATACACTTTCAGATATGCAATCAAGTCCAGGTGGAGAAACCAAAGATTTTAAGTTTCTCGTGAGTCAGCATACATACTAGCTCATACAGAAATGTCCAAAGCTGCCTCTGTACACTGGGCACTTACAGTAAAGTGGAAGAAATGAGCCATGGGCAGATCTTCATTTATAATCCAAGTTGGTGTCAGCTAACAGGATCACAAGGAGGCATCCAGGAGAATGTGGGTTGGAATACATGAGATACAGGACTATGGACAGTCAGAGAGGAAAGGAAGACATTCTGGGCTTCCAGGCCGGGAGAAAAAGTCTAGCTCCAACAATGTGAACATACACTAATCCGAAGGAGATGCTGAAAATAAGAGACTAAGCTGAGAGGATTTCCCCGACAACACAGTAAAGCACAGTTCAATGAGGCAACCATGATGTCCCATGCAGATAATCCTAGCAGTCAGAAGGCATAGACAAGAGGATCACCATGAATTTAAGGTTGTTACTCTGGTCCATGTGTCAAGTTCCAAGCTAGCCAGAGCTACATAGAGAGAGACTGACTGCTCCCACCTCAAAAAGAAAAAAAAAATGTTAAATGGTAAGTTGAGGAGAAGGCTCAGCTGACAAAGCGCTTGCCACGCAAGCAGGAGGACCCATGTTTGATCCCTACTACCCACATAAAACCCAGGTGCAAGTGCGTGTCCATAGCCCCAGCTCTAGAGGACACAGGCAGGAGGCACTGCGGAGCTTGCTGGCCAGCTCGTCTGGTTAAATTACTGAGTTTTTCATTGCTGAGTAATACTCCATTGTGTAGATGTACCACAATTTCTGCATCCATTCTTCAGTTGAGGAGCATCTGGGCTGTTTCCAGTTTCTGGCTACTACAAATAAAGCTGCTACAGACATTGTTGAGCAAATGTCCTTATTGTGTACTTTAGCCTCTTTTGGATATATGCCTAGGAGTGGTATGGCTGGATCTTGAGGAAGTGCTATTCCTAGTTGTCTGAGAAAATGCCAGATTGATTTCCAGAATGGTTGTACAAGTTTATATTCCCACCAGCAGTGGAGGAGGGCTCCCCTTTCTCCACAACCTCTCCAGCATGTGTTGTCACTTGAGTTTTTCATCTTGGCCATTCTGATGGGTATAAGGTGAAATCTCAGGGTCGTTTTGATTTGCATTTCCCTAATGGCTAATGAGGTTGAGCATTTCTTTAAGTGTTTCTCTGCCATTCGATATTCCTCTACAGAGAGTTCTCTGTTTAGCTCTGTTCCCCATTTTTTAATTGGATTACTTGGTTTGCTGCTTTTCAGCATCTTAAGTTCTTTATATACACTGGATATTAGTCCTCTGTCAGATAAAGGGTTGGTGAAGATTCTTTCCCAATCTGTAGGCAGTCATTTTATTTTGATGACGGTGTCCTTTGCTTTACAGAAGCTTTTCAGCTTCATGAGGTCCATTCATTGATTGTTGCTCTTAGAGCCTGTGCTGTTGGTGTTCTGTTCAGGAAGTTGTCTCCTGTACCAATGAGTTCTAGGGTATTCCCCACTTTTTCTTCTAACCGATTTAATGTGTCTGGTTTTATGTTGAGGTCTTTGATCCACTTGGACTTTAGTTATAAGGAAATCATGAAATTTGCAGGTAAACGGTGGGACCTAGAAAGGATCATCTTGAGTGAGCTGTCCCAGAAGCAGAAAGACACACACGGTATATACTCACTCATATAGACATCTAACATAGGATAAACCTACTAAAAACTGTACATCTAAAGAAACTAATCAAGAGAGAGGACCCTGACTAAAACGTTCAATCCCCATCCTGAAAGGCAAAGAGGTTGGACATCAGAAGAAGAAGAAAACAGGAAACAACCTAGGAACCTGCCACAGAGGGCCTCTGAAAGCCTCTGCCCTTCAGACTATCAAAGCAGATGCTGGGACATATGGCCAACTGTTGGGCAGAGTGCATGGAATCTTATGTAAGAAGTGAGAGCAACAGAACCAGAAAATTTGAACACAGGGAACTTCCCAGAGACTCATACTCCAACCAAGGACTATTCATGGAGATAACCTAGAACCCCTGCACTGATGTAGCACATGACAGTTCAGTGTCCAAATGGGTTCCATAGTAATGGGAACAGGGACTGCCTCTGACATAATCTGATTGGCCTGTTCTTTGATCACTTCCCCTGAGGGGGGAGCAGCCTTACCAGGCCACAGAAGATGACAATGCAGCCACTTCTGATGAGAACTGATAGACTAAGATCAGATGGAAGGAGAAGAGGACCTCCCCTATCAGTGGACTTGGGGAGGGGCATGCGTGAAGAAGAGGGAGGGAGAGTGGGTTCAGGAGGGGAGGAGGGTGGGGCTTATGGGGGGATACAAAATGAATAAAGTGTAATTAATAAAAAAAATTGCTGAGGCTTAGATCAAGTAAGAGACTGCCTCAAAAAATAAGGTAAAAAGTAGATTAAGAAAGAGCCTCAACAATGATTCCTAGCCTCTACACACATGTACCTGTGCACGCGCACGCGCACACACACACACACAGTTAAATGAATTTTGGCTTGAGATTAGGGGCAGAATTTCCAATGATTCTGAAATGGCAGGATACATCCTTCAGCATTTGTGGTACATAGCTGTGTGAAGCAACACTTTCAGCAGTGATAATTAGAAAGTTAAAATATCAGTTAAATCTGAAAAATATAGAAGATAATATACATCTGGATCAAATTTCCAGCCAAGATTTAATTCTCTTTAAAATTACTTATCTGTCAGGTGGTGGTGCCACGCACCTTTAATCCCACCACTCTGGGAGGCAGAGGCAGGGGGATCTCTGTGAGTTCGAGGCCAGCCTGGTCTACAACGTGAGTCCAGGACAGCCAAGGCTACATAGAGAAACCCTGTCTCAAAACACAAAGATAAAAAAAATCATCTTATTATTATTTACATGTGTGTGTGGGGGGGTATGTTCCCAGAGAAGGCAGAAGAGGGTATCAGACCCCTCAGAGCGTAAGTTACAGGCAACTGTGGCCCACCCTGTGGGTGGTGGAAACCAGATTCAGGACTTTTGCAAGAGCAGCACATGCTCTGAACCACTGAGACATCTCTCTGGCCCTGAGATTTAAATCTTTATGTCAAACTAAATAAAGATTTAAATCTTTATGTCCAAATCTTTATGTTAGAGGATACTTGCAGGAGTCAGGGTTTTTTTTTCCTTCCACTGTCTGGATCCCGGGCTGAGTCAGGTAAACAGGTTTGCATCAAGCACCATTGCTTACTGAGCTATCTCACTGGCTCCTAAAATAAAATTCTCATGATTGATGATAAGTAAATGTCTGATAGGTATACCTATTCATCCAAAACTGCATAAAATTTGTTGGGCAAAAGGACTTGCTATTGCAAAGAGTTTAAGAAGCTCTGCTTTAGGTGTGGGCATTAAAAAAAAAATGAAAAACTACTCATAAGTGATGGAATTTTTTTTTCATGACAATCCCTGGCATTTAGGCATTCCATGCATACACTGAACAGAGGAAAAAGCAGAAGTTCATGATGTTAAAGGACTTTTCCCAACCAACAAAGGCCTAAAGGAAAAAGATAGCATCCCATCCCTGCCTCCTGATTCCAAGGTTTTATCTCGCTATGTTTGGAGAAAGCCATCACTAAAACTTAATGTGTTACTGAGCCACAATGACAGACTGGACCATAAACTGTCTCTCTTGATCCACAGGTACAACACTTCGTTTGGATGTCTGGGATGGATGGAAGGAATTTCTCATGGGATGTCTTCTTGGGCAGAAACTTAAAGTCCAACGCTACTTATCAAAAGAAGGACCAGTACTCAAGTATGAGAGCTAATGCCGATGTTATATGGATTTAAGTCACTTTATTCTAAGCCTCCATTCAACCTTGAAACTGAATTCTCTCTATAGAATTCTCTATAGAAACTGAATTCTCTCTATGGTCCTGCTGCTAACCAATTTCACTCTACACAATTCAATAAGATTGTTTTATTATTATTGAGATATTTGATGAATCAAGATAGGAGGAGTGTCCTCAAGGCTGTTAATGTTTGCAATCCAGGCAGATTTATCCTCTGAAACACTAATTAAATCTGTGACAAGTTTAGTTTGCATATTATATTATATTTTGTTTGTTTGTTTCTTTTTCAAGACAGAGTTTCTCTGTATATCCTTGACTGTCCTGAAACTTGCTCTGTAGACCAGGCTGGACTTGAACTCAGAGATCCTTCTGAGTTCTGGAATTAAAGGCATGTGCTACCACCACCCTAAATATCCTTATCTTCAGGATAAATTTCTTGCCACTCACATTTAATTATTTTATTAGGTAGCAATATTAAAAAAATATATATCCGCCAAGTAATAGGCTGAAAATAGTGGCTACTTCGTCCTAAGCCCACAAAGGTTTTTTAGCTAAATTCAATTATTAAAACAGCTTAACCCCAAATACAACTGTTGGATTTGCATTGAGTTTTGACTGTAATTGGTTTTTTAATTGAAATGCCAGGGTTTAACCTCAGACATTGTTACAAAAGCATATGCTGTTATTCAGTTTTAAATGTTTGGTTGTATTAGAGCTTAGAAATGACAGTGAGTCAGACTTCTCTGTTAGGGGCCTTATTAAGAGTTGACTTGGTTAATGTCATTACTTCCACCCAGCCCCATACAGCATATTCCTAAACAGGATACCAAGCTGCTGGGTTTCTCTTGACATGAATCTCATTCTGCTTGAGTGAATGTATTTGCTGAGGACTGGATAAAAAGCTCCTTGCTCACTGGAGCATAGTTCACTCTTTTTCCTTACATGAAGGGGTATTGTATGTCTGGGGCTGTGGAACATAGTTAGCTTGGAGAACTGGTGGCATTTTACTGTGTTTTCACAGCCAGCTGCTACCCAAAGGTCTCAGTTGGATTGGGTGTTAGTGGTCTCGTGTTTTAGAACAGTGCCCTCTTGTGGGTGATTTAAACATGCTTTACCAAAGAGCGAACACCAGCAGCAGCTCCAAGAGCTTCATGGAGTGAAAGGCAGGAGGCAGAGTTCTTACAACCATGAAACATACCAAAATTTCCATTTCTGTTTAGTGTTAGTTGTAATCCTGTTTCATATTCTAAATCTGAACAAATAGTTGTGTTAACGTTTAATATTGTGTTATTGAGTGCACTGCCCGAGATCAAACACTGTACTGTGTTCATCAACTTCACACATACAGTAATTTTATGATGTGGGTACTCTTTACTTTGTTTTACAGGTAAAACAAAACAGAGATTTCAAAGTTCATGGTCAGACTGAAAGTCTCTTTTTATTCCTCTCTACCTAGTCAGCACATACTTATTAAGTACTTACTATGTACTGTACAAGCTCCTAAGAATTCAGGAGAAAAAAAGACGGTTGCTGTATTCTGTAAGCTTACAGTACAGTACAGAAGAGAGACAGACAGAAAGAGAGAGAGAAAGTGACCAATTCCTGAAGAAGCAAAATTTCGAAACATTTCGGGCTATGAATTCCAAAGCTCTTTTGTTATGGTCTGAAGCCCTGTTCTCTCACTACTTAGCTAGGTACACTTGGGTATCTATCTCAGAGAACCTCATAGGCGTGAAATGAGTCAATAATTTTAAGTATGTTCTGCACACAGTGATCAGGATACAAAGCCACACTTTGTGGAGATTACTATTGAGTATGAAAGGGGCTATGACAGGGCACAGTGCAGATGACACATCATGGGAACAGTGTGAAGAGTGCCCAAGAGAGGTAAATATGTGTAGGGAGCCAAAGGACTTGCATTCAGATAGGTGGTGAGAAGAGTTGAAGCAGATCTTCCAGAGCTATATGCAAAGACTCAGGGGCAAGATCATAGCTCTGAGGAACTGGATGGCCTGTGAGGGATGAGTAGGCAGAAGTAGCTGAGATCTCTTCATGAAGGCCTCTTCACAGAGAAATATGAAGGAATTTTGACTCATCTTCCAGGTTTTGAGAAGAAATTGGTAGTAGGAAGGATCAAGATTGATCTACTTAAAAAACTATAGCTCAAGCTAGGTTCAATGGCTCATGTCTGCAATCCCAGGACTCAAGAAGGTAGAAGCAGGATCAGGAATCCAAGGCCAGATTTAGTTGCATAGTGAGTTCAAAACTAGTGTGGGCTACAGGATACCCTGTCTCAAAAAAAAAAAAAAAAAAAAAAAAAACCACCTAAAAACCATAGCTGCTGCTGCTGCTGCTGCTGGTATGTGTGTGTTGGGGGGATATATATGTGTGTGTATGGTGGTGGATTCTCGAATGTGTGGGCTCACACATGGGAGCCAGAGGAGGCTATCCAGTGTCCTGCTCTATCCCTCTTCACCTCCTTTTCTTGAGATATGCTCTCTCTGTCTCTGATCTTCCAGCCAGGCCAGTGGGCAGCAGGTCCTAGCAACTCTGTGTCTGCCCTCACAGTGCTGGGTTGGTTACCGATTCACCTGCAGTGCTTTTATCCACTGAACCAATACCCGAACTCCTCTAAACCACGTTTAGAGCTAGAGCAAGGAATGAGCATTGTAAGGAGAATTTTTATCTAGCACAGCTGATTTTGTCCGTTTGCTGATTTAATAATCCTTTCCGCCAAACTTGCTCCCCCCGTTCAGGTACCAGAAGAGGGTAGCCCTGTACGTCGCTGCTTTTCACGGACACACGGAACTCACGGAATGGGCTCTGAAGCAGGGTGTGCAGCCCCACGAGGCGGTTGGTGTTCACCCTTACCGAGCATGGTGCCATGAAGCCCTTCACACAGATGTCTCTAATTGCCCTATTCACGCAGCTGCAGAAGCTGGCCAGCTGTTAATTCTGAAGGCCTTTGTCAACTGCAACGTCCTGTGCCTGGAATGTAAAAACGCAGCAGGACAAACGCCGCTGGCCATTGCCACCAAACACCAGCATAAAGACTGTGTATTGTATTTACTGAGCAAAACGTGGTCCACGGTTTCCTTTCTAAAGCTTTCCATCTCGATGAGGATTTATATTAAAATAAAGCAGTGGATCCTCCGAGCTCAGAGTCACGGGTGCCATAAAAGCCAGCTTGGAAGAGCAAAGGTCTCTGGGGCAAAAGTTGGAGACACTGTGATGGTGGATGGCTTCACTCAGCCGAAAATGACCTCCAAGAGCTGGTACAAGGCTGGAGATAAGAACTGGCAAAGCACCCAGAGCAAACTAACACCCTGCATGCGACAGTCAGTCAGGGAGCCTGTCGATTCTTTATCAATTTCACAACAGGGCACCAGAAAACAAATCCTCACGTTTCCATCGTTAATGGATACAAACACGTTTTCAGAACTACAAAGTCATCAACAAGAAAACCAGAAAAAAGACTGTGCCCCAGCTAGGATTAAAGAAAAGCACATAAAAAATAAGTATCTTCCCCAGGTCCCCCTCCCTCCTGTTTCAAGAGTGAATTACTCACACCCCCAGTTCTACTGCACTCCACCCAGTGATGACCGTTTGGTTCGGTCCTTCTTCACCTCTTTCTCAGAGCACAGTGGGAGGACCCCGAGAGAGAATGCCATCTACTGCTTGGCTGTGGCAAGGTAATGTTTGTTCTTTAAATATACAGGGCAAACCTTTCATAAGAGAGGTCTAGGACAGAGAAATGTCTGTGAAGCCCTACTACGGTATACTAAGTAATACAAATTGTTTTAAATTTTCAGTACTTAATTAGCATCAAAGACTTTGTCTCACTGAGCCTAGTGGCACTTGCCTCTACTCCCAGCATGTGGGAGTCAGAGGCAGGGGGAAATCAAGCCTTTGATTCATTGTAAGACCCTGTCTCAGAAAACAAAATAACAATAACAAAAGGATCTCATCTCAGCCTTAGATCTAAAGAAAATCTCAACTGGTGCTATCACCCAGTCCGTGTGTCAGCCTTTGCTTCTCAAGGTCTTGGGAAAGGGGCACAGAACAAAGAAACTTGAAACATGGGAGGGTGTCATCAAAACTACCCCCCAAAGGCTGACCAGCCATGGAAGTTGAAGGGGGGAAAAAAAGAACAAAATAGCAGATTGAACTATAAAGACTTAAGGAGGCTTACAAGACAAGATTTACAGGAGGGAGGACATCCGTCCTAGGTAGAATGGTAGGATTGGCATTGACACTCAAGGTGACGGGACTCTCACAGTTGGAGGACACAAGTCTATCAAGCAGGCTCTCTGGCACAGTCACTTCCATGACAAGTTAAAACTTTCCCGTGAAATCATTTATGTCCTACTTTACATCTGAGGCATAATAGATTAAAGAGTTATAGATGTATGATTGGCCTTTTCTCTTGCTCAGTATCTGGAGAAAGAAATCTAAAACAAGGCTACATCATTTAGTTTTCCTTCCTGGTTTTGTTTTGTTTTTCCCTTCTGACTTGTCGCCATCTAGTGGTGAGAGTAATTTAGGCTTTCAAATTCAGAAAGATCCAACTTTATATGTCAATTTAAAAAAAAATAAGAATTAAAGAAAATTCAACACATCCAAGTGTGGTGGCTCATGCCTATGATCCTAGCCTCTTTTTAACTGACTCCAGTTAGAAGACTAGTCACCTGCTGCACTTCATCTGCATTTATTAAGCTAATGTATCTCTAACGTAGAGTAATGTACTAATGTAGAGTTCAGCAGGAAGACATTACATTGATCAATCTAGTTAACATCAAGGAAATTCTTGTGTAAAATATGTTTTGAAAAAAAAAAACAGTAAATCTTTTCAGAAACAACCATCAGTCTTACTCAAGATTTATCCTGTTTTTACTTCCACTATCTGGCTGTTTTGCTGAACATATCACCTATGAAACTAATTTGCATTTTGTGGGTATTGATTTTTCTTATTTTTGCATATTCCAACTCTCTGTAATATCCCATATCCTAATGTATTTATCCATTTTTTTTTTTTTTTTTTTTTTTGTTCTTGGTTTTCGAGATAGGGTTTCTCTGTTTCCTTGGCTGTCCGGGACTCACTTTGTAGACCAGGCTGGCTTTGAACTCACAGAGATCCACCTGCCTCTGCCTCCCAAGTACTGGGATTAAAGGCATGCACCACCATGCCTGGCACATGTTTTTTGTTTTTTTCATAATAATCTGTTATTCTTCTCTCACATATTGTATCCCGACCACAGTTTCCCTTAGGGGCCCTCCCCACAGCCTCCACCCACCTCCACCCCCTATTCATGTCCCCTCTCCCCCCAGGTCCACACCCATTTTCTCCTCTGAGAAGAGAAGGCCCTCTAGGTATATCAACCAAACACAGCCAAACAAAAATAAGCTACAATAAAAAACCAGGTTAGGCAAGGCAATCTAGTAGAAGCAAAAGCATCCTACCAGTAGACAAAAAAGTCAAGGACATCTGCTGCTCTCACTGTTAGGAACCCCACAAGAACACCAAATTACTCAGCCATAACATATATGAAGACGTCACAGGTCAGACCCTTACTGGCTCCCTGATGTCTTGAATCCCTCTGCCCTCAGTTTGATTATTTCTTTCTACTTCCTCCTCTTGAGTGTGCTTGCTTCTTTTTGTTCTATAGCTTTCAGGTGTGCTGTTAAGTATGAGCTCTCACTAATACTTTATGAAGACACTTAGTGCTGTGAACTTTCCTCTTAGCACTGCTTTCATCGTGTCTCATAAGTTTGGATATGTTGTGCATTCATTTTAAAATCTAGGAAGTCTTTAATTTCTTGCTTTTTTTCTTCCATGACCCACGTCATTTAGTAGGAAGTTGTCCAGTTTCCATTAGTTTGTAAGCTTTCTGTTGTTTCTGTTCTTACTGAATCCATGGTAGTCTGATGAGATACAGAAGGTTATTTTAATTTTTTTTGTATCTGTTGAGACTTGCTTTGTGACTGAGTATGTGATCAATTTTTGAGAGTGTTCCATGAGGTTCTGTGAAGAAAGTATATTCTTTTGTGTTTGGGTGAAATGTTTGCTAGATATGTTAGGTCCATTTGGTTCATATTGTCCGTTAGCTCCAATATTTCTCTGTTTAGTTTTTTTCTGGATGGCCCGTCCATTGGTGAGAGTGGGTTACTGAAGTTTCTATAATTGTGTGATTTAAGCTTTAGTAAGGTTCTTTTACAGATGTGGGTGCCCTTACATTTGGGAAACAGATATTAAGAATCGAAATGTCACCTTGATAGGTTTTTTCCATTGATGAGTATGAAATGTCTTTCTCCATCTCTTTTGATTAATTTTGGTTGAAGTGTATTTTGTTAAATATTAGAATAGCTACACTAGCTTTCTTCTAAGATACATTTTCTTGAAAAATCTTTTACCAACCCTTGACTCTGAGGTACAGTCTATCTTTGACGTTGAGATGTGTTTCTTGTATGTAACAAGATACAAGATCTTGAAAGATCAGGACGTGAGAGTCATGAGCCTAAAGAACTGAGGTAAAGAATAGAGGGGCCAGCATAAGGTCACTAACGGGAAAGAAAGATCTCTACAGATAGAATCTTGGATGACACCAACATTTAATACGGTGTGAAATCCTTTTTCTTAAATAAGATTTATATTTCTGTGCATAGGTATTTGGCCTGCATGTATAGCTGTATACAATACACATGCCGTTCCTGTGGATCAGAAGAGGGTATCTGATCCTCTGGAATTGGAGTTACAGATGGCTGTGAGATGCCATGTGGGGCCAGGAGCTGAGTCAGGGTCCTCTGCAAGAGTATCCAGGGCTTTTCACCACTGAGCCATTTCTCCAGTCTGTAAGGTCCTTCTTTAATGAAACACATTTTAACCCTACAAAGTGGAACAGCTGTATTGAAACTTCCAAGTCTTTCTTAGTAAAGACATGGAGCAAGTGTAGTAAGGAATTAGTTCCCTAGCATTTCAGTTGAAGAGTACCAAAAGCAAAGCTGTTTTTAAATGTAAGAATCCTACCGGGGGAAGGAAGGAAAAGTAGTGAGGGAGGGGGTGCTACTTAAGAGTTGCCTAGGAAACACAGAATTTTCTGTTATAGCCCAGAATATTCTGCATGACCTTACATGGCTGTCAGTGTCTAGGAGTGGACTCTAAACCTCTAGCACTAACTGAAGACTATCTTTCCTGCCCTATATGAGGGATTAGCTTTAGAAACACTGCTGTTTATACATCCCCTTCGACCTATGTGACAAGTAAATTAACTGGTGATGAACTCTCCCTCAAGACTTCCATTCAGCAACGTACAGGGAAGAGATTGAGCCTCCTGTGAGTTACGTCTTTGTATTGTTTTGTTTATTTTGCTTTGTTTTGTTTTGTAGTGCCTTTAAAGAGAAGCGATGGCTTCAGCAGTTAGGAATAGCAAGAGTCCTAGCCAAAAGGAGCATTGCTAACCTGACTATCCAAGGAGGTCCAGCAAAATCTGAAAATCCTCCAGAAATTATGCTTTGAAAAGTCATGGTGGCCCTGGTTTGAACAGAGATATGGTCAAAGAGAATCTCCAGTTCTATGTCAACATATCTAATAACAGTTCTAATGCTACACAAGTCCGATGGGATGTTGAATGTTTAACAGGAAGCTTTCATGGACACTGCACTGCTCAACCTTCTCTAGAGGAGCAGAACCCATAGGATGAATATGTATTAAAATTGTTTATTGGATTAGCTTATGTGATGATGTTTAGATAGTCCAACAACAGCTGCCTTCACACTGGAGAACCTGGTACCTGCTCAACCCAAGAGGCCGGATGGTCCCACAATTCCAACCTGGTGCCAAATGTATAAAGGATTCCTGGTCCTCCCTCCACATCAGTAGCCAGAAGAAGGTGGATTTTCCTGTTGGGGAAGGAACGAAGAAGCAACAATGGTAAAACTGAGGCACAAAGGCAAGCAGGCAAGAAGCAAAGCTTTTCCCTGGGATCTCCTTACACATGGCTGCTGCAGTGGTTTGAAAAGAAGCCCCCCACCCCCCAGGCGGCTCATATATTGGAATGCTTGGGAGGTGTTGTTGTTGTTTGTTTATTTTGTTTGTTTGTTTTGTTTTGAGGATGTGTGTTACTGGGAGTGGATTTTGAGGCTTAAAAGCCCATGCCAGGTCCAATCTCTCTCTCTGCCATGGATCAGAATGTAGCTCTCAGCTACTGCTCCAGCACCTGACATGGTCTCCACTATCATGATAATGGACTAAACCTCTGAAACTGTAAGCCAGTTCCCAACTAAATGCTTTCCTTTATAAGAGCTGCCTTGATCATGGTGTCTCTTCACAGCAACAGGATCATCCCTAAGAGAGCTGCCATTAGAAGATGCCATTTAAGGTGTATCTACTCACTTTTAAATAACCCAGTAAGAAGGCCCTTGACACACATTCTTAGGGGCTAACCTTTATCCTTATATCCCCTCACAGCTGTGCCCTGGAGGCTTATCTCTTAGTCAATTCTAGATCCAGTCAGGTGCACATCCAAGGTTAACCATTAAGGATACAGGCATCCAAATGGCACTTAAACCCTTAAAGGACACTGCTGTCTTCTGATGACAAAATTTGCAACCCCCCCCCACATACACAACCCAGAGTCTCAGAAAAAGAACTTATAGTGAAAACAGACAGACATAAGGTGACAGCAGAAGTTGCCTGTGGG